CAGGCAAAGAGCCCTTCACCCGCATTAAACTAATCTGGGCTTGAGAGTAATGGTTATTTCTAGTTCTTTGTTTCTTTGCTAATTATCAAAAGCGAGCCTGGGGCTGTCTGCCAGGCCTGTGACAGGTTTCCCCAGCTAACCCGCTTCTTTCCCACCTACGAAGCCCCTATCCCCACCAGGGGCTCCTCCCTAGCTCACTGGGAGGCCACCTGTACTCAGAAACCCGTCCTGGGGTCCAAGAGCCCCGTGTGGGGGCGGGGAGGGGGGAGGAGGAGACACGCTGAGTCTCTGCAGCTCCCAGCGAGGCGAGTCCGCGCCGGGCGAAGTCAGAGCGGGGAGCGCCTCTAGTCTGGCTGGAGCCAGGGCTGAACCCGCACAAAGTGTTTTCCCCGGGAGCCATGGCTGCTCTTGATTTTTAACCATATCCCAAACATACTTCGGTCTAATAATTTATTTTTACGACCGATTATCAAACAGAAGAAGAATTTAACACAATCTTAATGACAGAAATCACCCGACGTTATCTCTGCCTGGCCCCATTTAACCCCATGGGGTTAATCCTGGACAAGTGAGCATTTAACTGGCTCAGCGGGAGGACTCCGCGACGTGATGCGGGGGTCCGGGCCGGTCTGCTCCGGACCACTTTAGACATTTTATTTTAACAAATGATGTTGTTTTCTCTCTCTCTCTCTCTCTCTCTCTCTCTCTCTCTCTCTCTCTCTCTCTCTCTCTCTCTCTCATTCACTGGGAAGCCCAAAGGCAGGGCCTTTGTTTTCTTCTTAGGAATATGGTTTGTTTACTTGGCCAGGGTCCCAATTCGCCCCCCTCCCCTCCCTCTGGCACCCATTACATTTGTATCCTTACTCTTTAATCCGGAAAGAGGGGGTTAGAGGCTGAGGACTGGGGAGTCGCTCTATCTCCTCGCACTATCAAAGGTCAACAACCTCCTGAGGCTAGGCACTTATTTATTAAGGAGCCTGGAAACCCCAGAAAATAGAGGAACAGTCGGTATGAGTTTTTTTCCCCTGTATTCCAAAAAAAGCTTGTCCTATCACACACACACACACACACACACACAGACACACACACACACACACACCCGCGCGCGCGCGCGCGCGCACGATCAAAGGACACAATGTATCCGAGGCCTGCGCGACGGGTTGGAGACGTTTTGAGTTTTGCATAAGCCTGCAGGCTTCGAGCAGCACCATCCCTTGACTCATCCAGAATGAAACCAGCCAATCGAGCTACGACACCGCCAAAACCCGTGGCCCTGCAGCCGGCACAACTCGTAGGTTCGCGTTGACAGGGGCGCGCACACTCCGTTCCACCCTGGGCTGGTACGCGTACTCGCTGCCCTCCGGCTCAGCGGGCAGTGGTCAGCTCCTGCACCTCCGCAGCCAGGCAAACCCCCGCCAACGCTGGCCTCCCGCGCTCGCCTGCACGGTAAACCCCGCACCCACCAGCCTGGGCGGGGCGCGGCGGAGAGCCGCCAGGACTGGGTGGGCCCCTAGCGGCGCTGCCCGCAGTGGATCGCGGCGAGCGACAGAGGTCGCTGTTGGACCACTTTTCCACTCCCGTTGGAGTCACCGAGGTAGGTCGGGGTGTGCCTAGAGGAGGCCACAGAGAAGCAGAGAGAGAAAGCGAGAGGGAGAGAGGCTGGGTCTCCTCCGGAGTGCAGTATGATTTGGAGAAAAGGATGAACGTCCCCGGGACGGCTGCTTCCCGTCGTCCCACCCAGAGGCCGAGTGTCTAAGTGCCAGGAGCAGGAGCTGCGCCGGTCCGGGGAGGCTCGCCTGCTCACGTCTCGCCCGAGGCCCAGAGGCCCCGATCCCAGTGCCCAGCTCGCAGCCTGCGCTCCGCTCCCGGCCTTACCATGGGCGCCGGGATGCTGCCGCGGGCTGAGCTTACTGTGGGCCCCCTCTTTCCGATTCTCGGGAGGGTCCGTGAACTCGACCTTTTGGACCTCGGAGTCTTTGGAGGAGAAGAGGCATTCCACGGCCGCCGGCTGCACGCCTGGGCCACGCGCGCCGGCCCCACGTGCGCGGAGAGAGCCGCCCCGGGTCGCCGCCGTGGAAAGGAGCGGGGTTAGGGGTGTGGGGGGGAGGCGGGGAGCGGGACCGAGGAGAAAGAGGGGACAGAGATCAAAGACCCAGTTAGAAAGAAGAGCGGAGGGCACTCCCGTCTCGGGGACCCTCTGGGCCACGCTGCGCAGGAGGCATCCTCTCTGCGCCACCCGGGTTGCCAGCCAGCAGCTCCCGTTTGGGGGGCGGCGGCGGGGAGTGGGCCTGGGGCTTAGGAACGCAGCAAAAGGCTCCCCCTGTTTCAGGTTCTGATTTCCTTCAATCCTTCCTTTCTTCCTTCCCTGGCCGGCCCCTCTGGGGAGTGCCCCACGCCGCGGCCTCACCGTCGGGGGGGGGGGGGGGAAAGCAGGGGAGGAGAAGTAAGTCTTACCTAATTGCACACACGCCGACACTAGTTTGCGGCAGTTGGTCTCCATCCCCGGTTATCTGCAAAACAGAAGAGGAGGGCGGTGTGGGGCGGCGATCCGCGGGAGCACAGGGCTCTCAGGAGGCTCCTGGAGGGGAGAGGGGAGACTCCCACACCCACCAGTAGGCGCCTACTCTGTGCTGGGTCCTCGGACCTCCCAGCCTCTGGCTGCCCAGATTCAGACCCAGCCCGGCCCTGCCCGGCCCCGGGGGGATGAGCGGGAGATTTCCCTCCACGGCCCAAGCGAATGGGCCCACGGGGCTCTTGGCCTATAAAGCGCCCGCGTTCTGGGGTCCTATGCTGCAGAGCCTTTCTCGAGGGATCTGTGGAGGGTTAAGAGCCCTTCTGAACACCATGGTAACCTTGGCAGAGGCTAATTTTGGGGGAGGGGCGGGTGGAGAGGCTTTTTCTTTTTTTATCTTGGGGAATTGTATGCCGAGGCCACCGCTCCGCACAGTCCTGCTCTGTGAGTGGGAGCTCGGCACACACTGGCAGAAAGTCAGAGTCCACTTGCTCCCGTCCTGGGCCCGCAGCGATCCTCGGTTTTCTGCAGCGAACAGGACTCTAAGGCTCTGGGCCTCGGGGTCTCTCCCGGAGCAAGCCTTCCCTGAGCCTCTCTCTCATCCATCAGGAGCTAGTTTTCCATATTTAGCCACACTTCTCCCTGGAGATACTCACCCGGGCCATTTATTTACCCTGAAGTATGATTTAAGATCACGGAGGAGAGAGGCGGTGTGGCCAGAGAGAGACGGAAGGAGAGCAGGGCCAACGTCCCCAAGGGGTTTTACTGCCCACCGAGGATGGAGCAATAGCCCCGAGATGGGCTTCCCCATGGCTCCCCCTTCTCCTCCTAGGCAACCCCAAATCTTTTTCAGATTTCCAACCACACGCAGCTAGTCTAGCGTTTAGCGCGCTCCCCCTCCTTCTCCGCCACAGGCAAACCAGGAGAAGGGGGTGGCGAGGGGCTCTGTGGGGTTCAGGAGAAGAGGAACAGCTGCTTTAAAGTCAGAAGAAATGAAAGAAGGCCCCGGGGCCCCGCAGGACCGTGGGATCTCTGCGCCCGCCTCCTTCCGCGCTCACCAGGGTATGACTGCGGGGGGAGGGCCCGCGGCCCTGGAGGAAGGGCCGAGGGTGGGCGAGGGCGGCGCCCCGCCAGCGGAGGGGCAGAGGCGGGCAGGCCGCTGCGGGTCTGCCTCGGGCCTGAGTCGCATTTCCCTGCTCCTTGGCCTCTCCTGGAAGGAGCCGGAGGGACGCAAAAAGTCGCTGCCCAGAGGAGGGACAGCGGCGTGGGGGATCCAAGGGTCGAGACCCGCCAAATGGCTTTCCCACCCGCCAGCGAGATCAGGGGGCTCCGCGGCTCTTGGCTGCGGGGGCCCGGGTCCCAGAAGTAGCAATTTGGAGGTCCCAGATTTAGTGATTCTGCAGTAAAATCACAGGATTAGTCCCTGATTGAGATGTCTGTTCGTGAGATATTACAAAATTCATTATCACAGCTTTCTACTAACTCGATATGAAGTAACACAGATGGGATTTTATTAGTCCAGACTTCAAATGTTTACTTATGATAATTTCGGGGGAAATTTGCATGTCATCATCATTTCGATAATCTTTTTTTTTTTTTTTTTTCCCCCTTAGCGTCTGAACTGGCTGCATTATTAGCCGGTGGCCGGAGCATTGCAGATGGTAACTGCAAATAGTTTTTATTTTCTAAAAGAATGAACTATACAAAAGAATGGCCACACCACATCAAGTCATTCAATTATTACACATATTCTCCCCCACTCCTAAGCTTCGGTTCTGTAGGCCAAACAGTAATACAAAACAAATTTTCAAGAATTCTCCTCCAAAGACTGAAAAGAAGGGTCAAGCCACGTTCCTTAGCTCCCTCCTGGCGTCCTTGTGACTTGGGGATTTCCTTGGTGGTCAAAATGAGCTCGAAAACCTGCATTTACTTATGTGTATTTTTTATTTTATTTTAGTTTTTTTTTTTGCTTCGTAGAATGACCAGGCCTACTAGATGAATTAAATTCAAATAAATAAGGAAGATAATTAAAATAAAAAAACAATTTTCCAATTCCTGCCTGCTGATCCTTAAATGTGCCCCTGTCAAGACGCGTCTTACAAGACAAATTTGGCTGTGAGATTTAGGGTCTTGCTTCCATGGCTAATCTCCTAAATTAAGATGTGCAACTTTTACTGATAGAAAGTTTTTACCCCCAAAGTTCATGTCCTGGTTGGAGAGTATATGCCAGAGAATCTTGCTCTGTCCAACTGGAGTTTTCTATTGTGAGCATGCTAGAGGCAGCTAACACAGCACACAGAACCACAGAGGCCAAGACAGGCAGGCATACATGAAGAAATAAAACATTTTGCTTAAAATGAATGTCTAATGACTGCCATAAGAAAAATTGCTGGGAAAAGAGAGTACTCATAATTCCAAATCCTTTCATATTTCCTCCCCTTTCCTTTCATTTTGATATCCTCTAATAAAATCTTCAATGAAAAATTTAAAAATAAACAGCACAAGAACATATGTTTTAAATGAACTAAATTGGGGAGATTAGCCAGTAAATTAATTTGCAGCAGGTAATTATTTAAGGACATCAAAATACTGCACAACACAGTCCTGTAGTTTACCAGGGTAAGCCTTCTTTTAAACCAATTAATATCGATGCTTCAGGAGCACTTGAGGAACGATGCACCTGAATAATTTAAATATAGTTTTGCTGAGATAAAGTAAAAACATTTCCTAAATGAAGCAGCTATTTAATTTTTAGGGAAAGTTTGATTATTGAATTATTGCATGGTTATTTTGTGTTTCATTAATAAAAAAATCTTCAAGCTATTTCGCTTAATTGCTTTGTTTCCTTGGAATAATTGGTATTAGAGTTTTAGATGAATTTCCTCCAAAATGATATTAAAACCATCTTTAATTCTTATTAGTGGCCTATAAAAAATTTAAGGGCATCTCTAAACTAGGTTAATTTTTTCATTAAAATCTTTTCACTTGTATGAATTCCTATTATTTTAATTTACTATAGCAAAAATATTTTCTCATTTAGTTTACTTTAGTAAGACATAATCCTTGCATGCACAAAAAAGAATAAAAATCAGATTACCCTATGATGGGTTGGTTTCTAAATTGCTTAGAAAAAGTAAAGCCATTACATTGGAATAAAAGAGGAACATATTTCGCAGATTCGGAATCAATCCTTTTCTTACTTGACGTTTGGAAGAGTCCCTTTCCGTGCACCCATGTAAAATGTATCTCTCCAAAGTGTAAGACCAGAGTTGACTGGTGATCAATTTAAAGGATTTATAATCCGAAGTAATTGTGTGAGTTTGGCATCCAGTCCTGGCTCCCAGGTAATTCGTTTGGGCCTGAGAGGTCACTCACTGCCAGTTAAGATGGAATCTTTTTTCCTCCCCATTGGTAACAATGGGAAGGGGGCTAATCTTCCAGTAGCTAAAACTTTGTACCCGGGTCCTTTATCTCTAGAAGGCTAATCCCCAGCCCGAGGATCTGTCCCTGCCGCGTTGGCACCGAGATTTAAGGGAAGATACCTCTTTTTAAATGCCAGCCCTGGTCTCGCCTCCCCCTCGACTTCAGCGCCCCGTAGATTGTTCGCGTCTGTGACTGGGGACGCGAGGCGCAGGGCTTTGCAAATTCTGCCTGCCTTGGGGGTGGGGAGGTTGGAGGAGAAGGCATCCCCAAGAGCCACAAATCACCTCCAAGTGAAGATTCCCCAAAGTGGAACAAATTTGTAAACTCGCATGATCTCACACCCTCGCGGGGCCGGCGGCCTCCACTTACCGGCTCCCGGGAGAGGGAGGAAGTTGCCGTCTGTCTCCGTGTCCCGCCGCTTCCCGGGGAGATGGCCCGCGAGCCCGGGGGCGCGGGCTGCACCGCGAGCGCCCGAGAGCCGGGGCCGAGGGTCCGGCGGGGCTCCCGAGGGCGCCGAGGTCCCGGGGAGTCCGCGGGGGCGCGGGGGTGGAGGGGCTCCGGGGTCTCAGCCGTCGCCGGCGGTGTCCTCCCGCTGCGCTCCAGCTTCCCCGCTCGGGCTCCCGCTCGCTCTCTCCTCCCTCGCTCTCATCCCATTCTGCGTCCTCCGCTCGGGCGGCGGGTGGGGAGCGCCGTGACGTCAGCAGAGATTCCACCAAACTCCGCTGCCCCGCGGCGGCCGCGCCGGGCTGCGCGGGGAGCGGGAGCCGGCTCAGCGCCCCGGCCGGCACGGGGCGGGGGCAACGGGCAGGGGCTCCGGCAGGCGAGGCGGGGCCGGGGACGGAGAGGCCTGCGGGAGCCGGGGAAAGAGCTCGGGAGAGCGGAGGGAGGAAGGAGAGGGAGAGGGGACCGGGTGGGGCGCGCAGACAGGAGCCGGCGGGCGCTCGCACTCCCACGGCGGAGAGGAGGACGCGGAGGGAGGACGAGAAGAGGAGGAGGAGGAGGAGGAGGAGGAGGAGGAGGAGGAGAGAAAGGAATCCGCGCCAAACCGGGAGCTCGAAGGAATCAGGGAGGGAGGGAGGGCCGGGGCGTCGGGGAGACAGAAAGGTACTCCTGGGGAGCCCGCCGCCCGGGACGGATAGGGAAGCACGGACGGGGAAGAGTGCCCCCAAGGAATGGAACAAAGGAGGACAGTGTGTAAGGGATTGTTTGGGGCGAGGCCTGCGGGGTGTGAATCGGAGTGTGCGGGTGTGTGACCTTCTCGCAGGCCTGCAGGGCTGAGGGAGGAGGTCACGGAGCCTGGGTGTAGGGGTGGATGGGGTGGGGACGTGTGTGTGGGGGACGGGTGGGGGGGAGAGGGACTGAGGGAAGGGCAGGAGGCGGGAGGTAAGGTGGGCAGAGTGGGGCTGAGAGAGGATGGATGACCCAGGAGAAATCTGGAAAACTGGGGTGAGTGGGGCAGTCAGGAGCGTGCGAGAGAGCCAGACCCAGCACCCAGGGCCTGGCCGCAGGCTCCCAAGGTCAACGCGAGGGGAACAGGTCAGCGGCGGTACCCAGGGTCCGCGCAC